ATGGTTGGACTTGATGATCTTAAAGGTCATTGCCAACATTAATGATTCTGTGATCAATATATAGGCTGGAATTAAAAATTCCAAATCAATGCTTAAAAATAATACCATGTCAAATGAATTTTCTAGAACAGCAGCAGTGTTGAAATCTTTCATCATTTGTGGAAGTGTCAAAGAGCAATGAGTAATAGTCTGCTAACAATACATCAGTTTATTTTTAGGAATATATTTAAATCTGCTGCAACTTGCAATTTACAGAATGACTCTGTGGTAGAAACAAGTTTAGTTGGAACCGTGATGAATGGACTATCTCATCTTCATGGGTGTACTGCACATGGAGAGTTTATTATTAACTTGTTACGTGGTCTTGGTGGCAATCTGAACATGAAATCACGACAAGAATTTGCAAAAGAGGTAATAATCTTTTTCAGCAAGTTTATTAAAAATTTCTCAGTAGTGATTTTCTGTCTCCTAACAATGCAAATTTACAATAATAGAATATCTGTGCTCTAATTTGTTTGCAATTTGTGTTGTCTATAGGGAAATAGCTGAGAAGTAAAGGAATGTTTAATGTGTCACTGATACACTGCTAAGTGCATCCAGCCACACGTGCTGTGCCAAGAGATACAGAGTGGCTTCTGTCTGTACCTTTTTGTGCAAGGACCCACTATAGCAGACTGTGTGTGTGCACATGTATTGTGTATATGTAATCCAGGTTTATTTTGTGGGTTTTTTTCTGTTCAGAATGCTTGAAATAAGAATGGGAGGGCTTTGTTGCACCACCTCATCAGGGAGGTGTTCTTACAGCATTATTTTGAGGTATGTGTTGTTTCTGCTGGGGTGTGGTTCTGTCTGTGTAGACTTTTGAGGGCACAAGGACTAGGGAATAGTATTGGAAAACTATGTGAGTATACTGGTCCCTAGTGTCTACAGAAGGCTGACCCTGGAGGTAGTTGTCTCCACAGTGACACTTGGGTTTTGTGTTGGAGAGAAGGAAGTACTTCCTTCCAAAAGGCAACCTGGAGCTATAACATACATACAGGGCAGATGGTAAAGGTTTAGAGTCAGCTTCTGGAATTAGCTATCAATGCATGTGAAGGCGTTATCTTGTTCTTATGATTATTATTAAGTATGTTGCCTAATATGGAAACATGTTTATATAAAGCTTTTCTAAATACAGTTTATTTAATGTTCTTTATATTATGAAAAAGTAATATGTGGAAGAGTAATATGTTACTGTTTAGTTAAGGACTTAATCATAAAGCATATGAATAACATGATTGAATTTTCAAAGGCAGCCTTGAAACTATCAAATTGAAGGTTTAAATGTTCGATTTTACAGAAGTATTGTTTGAACATTCTTTAGATTAGCTTAAAATTATAGATCTTGTCATTAGGAGTATGGATTTAACAGAAGCTTTATTTTAACTTTTTTTTAAAGATCTTCAGTTGGGCACAAGAATCTCCACCAGATCCAAGGAAGCTCCTGGACACATATTATGACGCTGACACTGGACAGCTAATGCTGTATCAGCTGAAAAAACTTGAAAATCTAACAGCTGATGACTTCAGTAATCTCCAAACACTTCCTGTCATTCAAACCCCTGACATGCAAAGAGGTTTAGATTACTTTAGACCCTGGCTAGATTTTAACAATAAGCAGCCATTTCTTCTTGTGGGCCCTGAAGGATGTGGAAAGGGGTAAAAACTGTTTCCTATTTTAAGCAAAATATACTTCTAGGTATTTGACAAAAATTGTAATACTTTGTTATAATGGTTTTATCATATGACTTTCTGATAGAATATCACTTGTTTAGGTTACTAATGAAACATAGGTTCTGCAGTGGCAAATAGGGGTAAATTCTTATGAAGATCTACAGGGAAGGTTCAGACTGCCACTATGCATCTAAGACATCTGAATGAGGCTTTTAGATGTGAAACAGGACCTTTGGAAAACCTGTGCTGTCACAGAGCAACAACTGGAAGGCACATGAGGTATCCAGTCTCATCTCAAGAGGCACTAGATGCCTGTGTGCAGGCAACTGAATTTAGGTCATCCTGTTGCCTATCTTAGGTTCCTTATTTAGATAGTTTGGATCGTTATATACAAGATATTTAGGCTAGGTATTTGTTTTGTGTAGCTGTATCCTACACTTCTATTGGATTTCTTGAATGGAAAATATTACAGTTTTAAAGGTAAGAATGTTTAATTCAGCAAACCTCGTGCATCATCTATTACATTAATACAGTATATAGTATATGCATTTTAATTCAAAAACTACAATATCTTTGGATATATGGTATTTTAATGCATTTATGTATTACTTATATGTATGCAAACATTTGCTTTTTTAGGATGCTGCTTCATTATGCATTTTCTCAACTCCGATCCACTCAGATTGCTACCATTCATTGCAGTGCACAAACTACTTCTCAACATCTTCTACAAAAATTAAGTCAAACTTGCATTGTAATCAGTGCAAACACTGGGCGAGTATACAGACCAAAGGACTGTGAAAGGCTTGTTTTGTACTTAAAGGATATCAATCTACCCAAACCTGATAAATGGGGAACAAGCACTCTCGTAGCTTTTCTACAGCAGGTGAACACTTGTGTGTTATTTATAAAGAGATTTAAGTGTACTGGAAATAGTTTAGTGTATACAGGAAATACCAACATTAATTGTCAGAGTTAACATCCTACATCTGCATTGACAAGAGCTTTGTTTGTACTTTGATGGAATATGTAGGTGTCAGACAGAAGTAAGATACCATTTTCATTTGTCTTATATGCATAAGTAAATAAAGACAGTGCTTGCCTTAATGAGTTATAATGCAGTAGGCATATAAGACAAGAAAATCATAAGGAGTGGTCAGCATGGATTCACCAAGGGCAAGTCATGCTTGACCAACTTGATAAACTTCTATAATGAAATGACAGACCTGGTAGATGAGGGGAGAGCCGAAATCTACGTGGATTTCACTAACGCCATTGATCTGTCTTCCAAAATATCCTCACAGAAAAGCTGTTGATGGATGGGCTGGATAAGCAGATAGTGAGGTGGTTGAAAAGGGGCTGAACAGCCAGGCCCAGAGGGTAGTGATCAGTGGCACAAAGACTAGTTGTAAGCCATTTTACAACAACTAGTACAAGGCTAGTTGTTTAACATCTTAATTAATGATCTGGACAATGGGGCAGAGCATACCTTCAGCAAGTTTGCAGCTGACACCATACTGGGAGGAGTAGTATATTTCTGGCAATTAAGAAAACAGTAATAATGGTATATTTCTCTTTCTTTTTTTAATGATACTCTGTTGGCGTTCTTTTAATGAAATAGTTATTTAATTATTAAAGGTTCTTACATATCAAGGATTTTATGATGAAAATCTGGAATGGGTTGGCTTAGAAAACATCCAAATTGTTGCTTCCATGTCTGCTGGAGGAATATTAGGAAGACATAAACTTACCTCCAGATTTACTTCTATTGTTCGTCTCTGTGCAATTGAGTAAGTATGTGAAAATTAGTTTGACTCTCAGAACTCAGATTCAGCCTCTGTTATAAACACAGGGCCCTTGCTCAATTTTGTCTTTATGAAGATGTGTCTGCTTTCTGCAGCTTTATATTAAGGTGCTGTTTGGTTACAAAATTAGAGAAATTGAAAAGAAGTTTGTTTGTTTTTAAGTTTGAACAGAATTACAGATGTATTTAGAAAATTTCTGAGGGTGACCTATTGCAATAAAATAATAATTTTACTTAGCTTCTAAATGTAGATGCTATTCATTGAAATTTCTCAGCAATATGTATAAAATTTTAATCTTTTTAATAAAAAAAATTAACAATTATAATCCATAAGGATTACTTTTTTTTTTGCTTTGTAGCTATCCAGAAAGAGACCAACTGCAAACTATTTGTAGTGCCTACTTGGAACCTGTACTACAGAAAAATCTAAAGACTCACCCTGTTTGGGGTTCTTTACCAAAAATACATCAGCTAGCAGGATCTATGGTTCAAGTATATGAACAGGTATGGAAATATAATTTCTTTTTTCAAGGAGATTGAGAATTCAGATTTTTTTATTTTAACAAGAGAATAAAAAGGTTTATCAGTATTAAAATCCAAGTTTGTATCTTTTTTGTAATGTTGATATCAATTTTAGAGCTACTTATTTGCAGAGAATTCTAGGTCTTAGAGGCAAACTGAGTAAGCGGTAAATGCTTTTGCTTTCCTACATATTGGATGATTTTGGCAAGCGTCTTAACCAGCTATGCTTTCAGTTGCTGAGTTATAAAATGTGGATAGTAGTATTTTCCTACTTAATGTGTGAGGAGACAGCATACTTGAAAGATTGTTATGTGCTTAAATGTTATGGATGCTGTTATGAATAGAGGAGATAGATATGACGGTGGAGTCCTTTACACACATCAAGGACTACCTGTTAAAATTTACACTGTTAAAAATAGGTGGTTAGACACACACAAGTTCATTTTATCCTGCCACTTAAATTTTTTGGACTTCTATCTAGCAAAGCACTTAAGTGCGTGCTTTTTGTAATCATGTACGTAGCCTTACTGGGGTAGCTACTGTGGGGATCTAAGTGCTTACTTATGTGTGTATGCTTACTTACACATGTATGTGTGTCCCTATCCTAAACAGAACCATGATATAAAGCTGATCTTTGTGTCTGGAATGTAGGTATAGTCACTGGCTAGCATGCACCAGTTAATGGGAGTTTCATAGGATGTTATAAATGTCTTCTAAGAAATCTAAGTTTAAATCTCATTGCACTGGGACCAAATAACTGATAAAAGGCAGTTGTTCTTTGAATTAAAGATAGAGTTATAAATTCAAATATCATATCTGGGGGAAGAGTTAGTATTTCTGTAAGAAGTCTTTTGTAGTGACTAAGTGTTACTGGTTTAGGTAGTTTTTAATTACACTTTTATATTTCCTTTGCATTTTATATTTGGTATTGCTTTAAAAAAAATGTGTGTTTTGTCTAATAATACTGCAGTAACAGTCCTAGTTGATATGTGCAGTTGTTTGCATCAAAAATGGTACAGAAGAAATGTTATAATTATGAGAAAATCTTTTGCCATTAGAAAAAAAGATTTAAACAATTCATCTCTGCACTTTTCAAAGAATCTAGAGTGCATTAATAAAATATCTAAACCAAATAGAAAACTGATTTGTCTGGTATTTCAGAAAAATTAAAGCTACATTTCCAAGTGCTTTGCATTCTAAAACATCATTCCCTCCCCCAACTTCTGTTTTTAGATACGAGCGAAATTCACAGTTGATGATCACAGTCATTACCTTTTTACACCATGTATTCTTACTCAGTGGGTTCTTGGTTTATTCAGATACGATTTGGCAGGTGGTAAGTCACTTACTTCATTTTCATTGATAAAGTTGTTCTAAAATGGCCTAAATTATTGTTGTTGTCAGTCTTACTGTTGACTTCACATGCAACTCGTTCACCCGGTGCTCTTTCTAAACTGTGAACTGTCTGTAACTCAGTAGAGGGAAAAAATGCCTAACAGTTCATTCCATAACATATAGTAAACAAGTTTAAAAAATCTCCAATGATGTTTTAAAATATGTGTGGGAGCTGTGTATAGATTAAGGGAAGTTAGTAGGTTGTGACAGCATACTATACTATGGGAATTTGAAGTATACGCCCTACTCCGCATAATGTTTTTTCTTTTTTTTTTTTGGAGGGGGAGTGGTTGGGTTAGGGGGTTTTCTGAGTTTATGTCTTGTCTTCTGGATTCTGAGAGACTTGCCTCTCATGCTTTGCTTTTTATACCTGGTTGTATAAACCTGGTAATGTGACTGTGGAACTACAACTGATACACATCATCTATGACCTACTTAACAAAAGATTATAACCACCCTTATACATACAGAAAACATCTAGAAAACTATCTCATCTGTAGAAATTTACAAATATCTATATAAGAGTCTAAATATTCTCACAATTTGGGAATGCTTGATAATTACAATCTAATCTGAAAGTTCTTCTTTCCTTAACTTTGGAAATGGTGAAATTTGTAAAGGTATTCACTTTTGTGTGCTTTGCCGAACAGACAGTATAGGCTTCTTTCTAATCTTGTTTTTGTCTCTGAAATTGCTATTAGTCATACATCATGAGCAATTACTCCTTACTGTGTTTTAGCTCTTACAGTAATTAAAAGGTTACATAGAGGGCTGTTTAAAGAATATAGAAGTTATATGAATGTTATTCCTGCTCTCCATTTATTTTCTGGGATCATCAGGTGGTGTAAATGTAGCTTGAATAAGGTCAGAAAAGCTCACTGACAATCAATGACTGGGTAATCTCACCCTGTTTAAGGACTCCATTGTTGTATCTGAAGGTGATACAGGTATTCGCTTTTTCAGTGATGAACAACATGCCATGTTATTTACTCGTCTCCCCTTCCTTGTCACCTTTGTGAAGAATACTGAAGCTTTGTATTCACTAGTGGCATTTTATAATACAGACCGTTTTGGGTATTTGTTGTTATTTTAGTATTTGTTATCAGTCCTTCTATTCCCCTTTAAAAGAGTCTTCTGGATTTTCTTGTTTTCATTGCCTGGAATTTTGTCTTCTAATTTTTACTTTGTGTGCAACACCTTGTTCATTTTCATTAGAATGCCATCACTAAACTGAAGAACTTGTTTTAATAGAATATGTTTCATTTTATCTTGTAATGATCCGTAAAGATACTATTATTAAAGCGCACTTCATAATGTTTACTTTTTCTCTTATTTCTTCCTTACTGATGCTCTCCTGCTGGTATGTAATTTCACTTACTCATTTTCAATCTCATATTTTGAAATGGAAAATTTGAGAAAAGTAAAATTTATTATAAATTTATAAAGCTGAATATCTTCTTAAATTTTGTAGGATCACCGAAAAAAACTGCAGATCATGTATTGGAAATTGTTGCTTATGAAGCATGTCGTTTGTTCCGTGACAAAATTGTTGGCGTGAAAGAACTTCATGTGTTTGATACTGTTTTGATGAAAGTATTTCAAGGTGACTGGGGCTCAGATTTTCTGGACAATATGTCAGGTAAACCATTTGAGGCATACTACACAAACCTGAAATATTTGTTTAGGAACTGCCTAATCAAATCAGGCTGATCAAGTCAGACAGCATATGAGCTGAGCACCTAAACTTTCAAGTGTTTCCTTTTATTTACACAGATATCTTCTATGTAACTTGGGGAGCTTGTCAAGAGGCATTCATCACACCAGGACAGACTCTACCACCACATGGGAGGCCACTTGGTAGACTAAACTCAACAGACCTGAAAGATATTATTCAAAAAGTGAGACAAGTTAAAAGAATATACACAGCAAGGATCCACAGCAATTATTCTAGACATTTTTTTCAGGAAGTAACATGTGAGCACCAGGTTTAGGGTGGGGTCTGCTGCTTGTTCAAGGAATTAACTTTTGCATTTGGTAAAGTGAGGGAAGGTTTGTGATGCTATGTGGCAGGCAGTAGGAAGTATCATGGAGCAAGGCTATTTTAATGAAAGGGCATCAGGCACATTTGCTGGTGATTTACAACAGTTTGATGAACAACATTTTGAGGAACATTGGTGTGCATGTATATTTGTGTATTGTTTGAGTACCAAAGTGTTTTATTAAACTTTTACTTTCTGAATTTGTAATTTGCTAATGTAATTTTTTTGAGAAGAAATACAAATGGATTACTTGGAGATCTGGCATGCTTTTAAACAGTAAAGTACAAAAAGTGAACTTGATGAGGAAATGCAAACATGTAAACTCTGCTAGGCTGACTGATTTTCAGGAAGAGAACTTTGAGATCACCTCCCCTTATTAGTAGTGTTTGATGGACAGCTCTTGTAGCTGGGAAACTACTCACTCTCCTTAGTTGCCAACTTGTGACCAATAGGCTATATGGGAAAGGAAAAAGTTTAATAGCCTCAGTAATGAGAGTTTGGTTTTTTGTCTGACTACACAATTACATTTGGCTTCAAAGATGAGGTTTTGATAAGTGTAACAAGGCCAGAATTTAGTCTTAGGATCTGTTATTATGTGTGTTTCACTAGAAAATTCCATAATCTGCATTTATGCAGCAATTGGCTGCCTAAAACACTCTTCTAAGTTATATATTAATCTGTAGTCAGAGACAGCTCAGACTTTGTTGTGATCCATTATTTAATTTTAATTAATTCAGTGGTAGATTTCTATTTCAATGTATCAAAGACTTCTAGTGTATCCTGGTGCTGGTGGTAATGTGATCTGTTCATTACTGATAAAGGGTATGCAAGGTATCTAAATTCTGTCACATAAATAAGTTATTTGTAATAATTACCAACGTGGCCTTTTAAGCTTTCAAGCCCTTCTTTTCTAAACTTTTAAATGTTGGGTTCTTTCATATTGTACTGCTTTTATTTTTTATTAATGAACAAAATTTTTTTTTTCTTTTTTAATAGGGTGTTACTCATTATGGGCGAGACAAAAAGGAGATAGAGATTTTACTGTTCCAGGAAGTCCTCAGTTATATGTCTAAAGTGGACAGAGTGCTAAGTTTTCCTGGAGGATCACTTCTTTTAGCAGGACGGAGTGGTGTAGGTCGTCGAACAGTTACCTCTTTAGTCAGTCATATGCATGGAGCTGTTCTGATTACTCCCAAAATTTCCAGAGGCTATGAGCTGAAGCAGTTCAAAAATGATCTTAAATATGTAAGTCACGCAGTGTCTTCCATTTTGTAGTGTTGTAGGTGTGTCTTAAAAAAAAAGGATATGGTAATTTTGAGCGACATTAAAGTCTTGTGTGAAGAGATATTTTAAGAAAAGCCAAATGTCAACAGTCTAAATGAAACAAGTAGAGTTTTGTAAGTTCTCAATGTCTAGATGTGTCTATTGTTCCTTATAGTAGTTACCGGAAACTCTTCTTTTTTGACTGCCAGAGCTGTTTTTATGACTGTTGTGGACTTCATAAATTCTAAGTTTATGTGAATATTGGAAAGGTTTTTTCATGTATATATTTTCAAATTTGTATGTATTTTAATTTGCTGTCTCTACTATGGTCTGCCAGTAGCTGAATCAAGTAAAATTTTAGTGATTATTGTAATTTTAAAACAAATGCAAACCATGAATTAGGTGTTTTTCAGTACCTTCAGCAATGCTAAAGAAAATTCTAGAGCTAAGGCCACACAAAAGAGCAATATAATTGAGTCACATCTGGAACATAAATATACTCTATGAAAGTGTTTTAATTATTTTTTCATTACCAAGCTGTACATTTAGGTATAATGTTCTTTATATTTGATATCTTATATAACTGAATAACCTAGTAATCTTTTGTAAATATATAATAGTATAGAAGCTGTGGAGAAAATATGTATGTAATATATGATCAAGGAAAGATTATCATTCTTTTATGAACCATACATATATTCCATATACTGAGATTTAAATGTCTTCCCTGCTTCTAGGTGATGGAGCTTGCGGGCATTGAAGCACAGCAGGTAGTATTGCTGCTTGAAGACTATCAGTTTGTTCATTCCACGTTCCTTGAGATGATCAACAGTTTACTGTCTTCAGGTGAGACAAGTCCAAAAAGGTTATGGTAATAATTTTACCACAGAGACTTAGCTCAATGAGGCAGATTTAGATGATGTTTTCTAATTTTATGTCCATGACAGAAGTGTGTGTTAGTTTTTTACACTGTTTTAGCTAGAGTGCTTGTACATGAGAAACTGACTTAGAGTTCACTTAGCTGTCCTTTAACCTACCCTGCAGTATGGGTGCTTTCAATTCCTCCAAGTTGCAAGTTAAGTAACTTATTTCAGAGGAGTCCTTTGTAATAGGGTAACAACAAAATAATAATATATTCTACTCTACAGCTTCCCTTCTGTAATAAAATTTAAAATTGAGATGCGTCCCAGTGTTGTACTAGATTGAATAGACAGAGTCCTTTACTTAATCAAACACCAGCAAAGATGACTTCTCTGAAAGTAGTGAGATGATATGTGGAACACTTCTCCTCTGGGGACAGGCTGAGAGAGTTGGGGTTGTTGAGCCTGGAGAAGAGAAGGCTCCGGGGAGACCTTATTGCAGCCTTTCAGTACTATAAGAAAGACGGGGACAGACTTTTTATCAAGGCCTGTTCTGATAGGACAAGGGGTAATGGTTTTAAACTAAAAGAGGGTAGATCCAGACTAGATATAAGGAAGAAATTTTTGACAATGCGGGTAGTAAAGCCCTGGCACAGGTTGCCCAGAGAGATGCCCCACCCCTGGAACCATTCCAGGTCAGGTTGGACGAGGCTCTGAGCAACCTGCCCTACATGAAGATATCCCTGCTTATTGCAGGGGTATTGGACTAGATGACCTTTAAAGGTCCCCTTCCAACCCAAACTATTCTATAATTCTCTGAATAATAAATAACAAAAGTGACTTTAATTAATTAATCTGGCTTTGTTCCTCGATAAGAGAGATCTTTGAAGGACTGAGTCTAACTTGCTAAATGTTTTTTTGGAACTGCAGTAGTTTAAGAGCTGATTGATAAAAGCACCAGATTTTACTGGTTCCCAGCTGCAAATACAAGTCTCCTTACCATATCAGATTCTCCAGTGTTAAACCTCTATGTGTGAGGACCTAGATAACTACTCTCTTTCATGTTTCTGTTTTCTGGTATACAACAATCTGGTTTGATTTGTTTTGTATGCAGTATTGGATCACTGTCTTTGGGTAGATTTGAATGAGTTTTTGAAGTATATTGCAGTTACACAAACAAAGTAGGCTGTTTAAGTGAAATGGAATCACTGTAATTTCATTTGTTGTTTTCATATCATGAAAAGAATGGTGAAGTACATGGGATGATACTCCTGAAAGTATGGATGTGAATACTGCCATACTCAAATTCTCTATACAGAATATTCAAGGGGATCCTTCAAAGGAATTTGAAGAATTATAGTGTATTCGATCTGACATTTTAAATTCATTCTTGAAATAGGAGAAGTTCCTGGGCTATATAAAATAGATGAATTAGAACCATTGCTATCTCCTCTGAAGGATCAAGCTTCACAAGATGGATTTATGGGACCAATCTTCAACTATTTCACATACCGTATGTGAACAGAATTATGTTATAATTTATTGCAAAGTTACAGAAGTGGTATAATAATGGACAAATAATTTCTAACATGATCCTTTTTTGTGTGCATTTTTAGCTTTCAGTTAGTTATTAAAAACCAGGCAGCGGTAATGAATGAATACAGTGTGATACTTGAGGGCACAGAACCTTTGGCTTAAAATTTTTTCTATCTGAAATTTTATATCCATGAATGTTCTACAAAGCTGGTATGAAATCTGTTGTTGAAAGTAATTAGAAGGAAGAAGTGTTTGTCCCCATTGTTTTCTGGTTTATTTAGCTTACATATCTAGTAACAGATTATTCAGTTATACCTAGGAATCTCTTTGGATTCTGAGTAATCATAAGCAAGTTTACAGATAGGTTTCTTAACTATATGCATTTCTTCCTTGGACCAATACGAAGATTAAGTAGTTTCCAAATAAATAGGAGAATGTGACTGAAAGAATACAGGTGTTGGCAGTCAAACTGAAGGGCCTGGAACTACTTCTGATTGGTTCTATTGGTCTATATTAACTGGAATAAGAATTAATGGTATCTATTCAAATAATCAACTCTTCTAAATTAAAAAAAACCACAAACTAATAGACATAATGAGGATCCTTGATATTAAATTAATTTGCTTAAGTTCTGTTTATAAACACTCCTGCCCTAGTGTGATGTGGTGTAATAGTATCTTTTTTCAGAAATTACTTTGTGATAAGTATTTGAAGGACACTAAATTATGTTGTATTTGCAGTAAATCTACCGTCATGTAGTCAGATTGTTATCTACAAAATATTTAATATGTTGCATTTTCTTAGGGATCCAGCAAAATCTGCATGTTGTCTTGATCATGGATTCTACCAATTTAAATTTCACAATAAACTGTGAAAGTAATCCAGCACTGTACAAGAAATGTCAGGTTTTGTGGATGGAAAGCTGGTCAGAAAACAGTATGAAAAAGGTAAATTGCATTAATTAAAAACTGTGATTTGTTTACATTAGTGTCTTCAAAAATAACTGAGCTTTGATGAATAAGATCAAAATATTTAAAGTTGTGAAGGAATAATTGTCACTGTGCTTATTTAATTTATTTGTGCAGTTCTACAAAGACAGAACATTTTGCAGAACAGTTAAGTAATATTAGCATTGTTGTTTTAACTGTAACATGTTTTGTTCCGTCTGTGGGCTGACTTGAACAAAATGCTGACTACTATGACTCTCATCAAACACAGCATTTAAGAACAAAATACAAATAGACTGCAAACAAAATGTTAAAGCCAACTATGCTGATGATAACTGCTGTTACTAGTATGCTTGACAGCTAGTTTAAAAATAGGTTTGTTAGGTGTATGTGAGGTGCTGTATACCTAAGATTGCACTGTAAACCTTATGTTATTCTTGGATCTTTGTTAAGTGTTTTGCTTGATGAAACGGAGTCAGTGTGTTCTTTTTAGGAACAAAATCCGCTTATTTCAAGATGTCCACAGTGTAAGTTTGAGAAAGATACATACTACTTCTATATGTTAAGAGACTGCCAAATGCAGTATCCTGATAGGGGCAAGACTGCCACAACTTTGTGACCCTAACTTGAACGAGTGGTGAAGCTGAGCATGTATTCCCAGCAGACTCACACATAAACACACAAAGACAGCACATACACACATATACATGTGTTTGCCACACAGAACACCACAAACAGAAACCCTCAGCACAAACAGCATCGTTGGCATCATCCTGTTCACCTCTCTGAGTGATCACAGTGAAGGTCTATTAGTGGAAAATAGGTACATATGCAGAATGTGAATCCCCCTACTAGCTGGGCACGGACGCACAGGTCCTCCAGTAATTGCCTCTGGTTCGCCAGGTCTCCCCAGTTGCTGGCCTCTGGACTTACAAGCTCCTGAGGTCACAGTCCCACTGCAGCTGCTGGTACAGACTGCCTCACTGCATGCATGTGCACACACACACAGTGGATCAGTGTAAGCCCAGTAACTGGGCTTATACATTCAGTCCATCCAGTAGCTGACCTTGGATCTAAGATCTCCCCATTGTGTCCTGCAGCAGGCACCTACGCATACATGTACACACATAGACACACGCAGCCAGGTATCCTTTGACTCCCAGACTCCACAGTCTCTCAGGCCAGTTGGCCTGGACCTTCTAGTCCCCCTGGCAGCCAGCTCCTTCAGGGGCCTCGCCAACCCATAGTAAGTCTTGTGCAATCTGAAATGCTCTTCTGCTGCATCCCCTAACGTGTCCCAAGACTCCTATTCAGTAACCCCCTCAGCCTAGTCTGTAAGGTGATCTGTCCTCTCCCATTGACATATCATGATGGGTTTCACATCTGGACAATGGGGTTGGTCAGTCTCCTGGGAGAGCCATGGGAGCAGATGGCGCAGAGTAGCCATTTCTGCCTGGGTTACAGGGGCATCTCCACCTGCTAATGTGCCTCAGTTTCAATGGCAGGTTGTACTGAAAATTCATTTTGGCAAAAATGTTTGGACCAGCTCTGTCCACAGTTAAAAATTGTTTTTCAGAGTATATTCATTTTCACTTCAGGACTGATTTTTTTCTTTTTAAGTAGAGTCTTATCATTTAGTCATATGCCAGAAACCGTGAATGTACTTGGTATATTTTTACCATTGTACATTGTATAGTTGTCAACATATTAAAGTAAGGCCACTCTTAGGCCATGGAAAAGACTTCAAAGTCTTAGACTTAAGCATTGTTTAATTCTGGTGTTGTATCCACAACAGTTATACTTAAGACTGATTTCCTGTTGAGTTGTATATCTTCTTACATCTTTGACATTTGTGTTATTGTAAGAGTTCTTTGAGAATTAGTTGCTCTTTCTTACAGCCAGCAAAAGTTCCTCTGCTTGAGAGAACAGGAAGTTATCAGTGACAGGGAAAGGCAGAATTGGCTTTTTTAATGCTATAAATATTTGGTAAATACCTTATTCTCAATAAAGCTATCATATTCAGTCTTTTCAAATGAGAAACTAGATTGAAGGTTTGTTTTTTTTTAGTTTTAACCTGAGTATTCATTGTTTGTAATTTTCATACAAAAAATCATGTTCATTTTTTTAGATACCTGAAATGCTTCTGTATGGTTCAGATGAACAAGAAAAGACTGGAAAAGCACACAAGGAACTTAAGAAAAAACATTCAGGTAATATTTAGGTGGTCCCACTAGTTATTATTACTTATTATTAAACACTTATTCAGTCCTGTGTTGGGCATAGATAACATAGATATAACATAGATACTTTGAGTATGTTTTCGGCAGCATATTCATAGACTAGTATTGGCAGGCATTTTGCACAAGAGAACATCAGTCTGGAACAGACATCCTGGCTTATCAAACCCAGTCTATTCTGTGTCACAAGCAATCACTACATATATTCAATTTTATAAACTGATTAAGCTGCATCTTGTTTTGTTTTGTTCTGTGTCTTCCTTCTATGTGGATGTTATTTCACAACCTCAAAATTTGATGTTTTGAGAGTTTTTCAGTCTATATGTTTTAATTATTCTTGTCCTAGACCTACCCATTTTATTTTAATAATTCTTTATCTCCAATAACTGATTTCTTGTAAGTAATGCCCCTTATTCAGCATAATTTGTTTTTATTATAAAACTTCAAATTTAACCATTTTAAAAATAGGATGTCAAATGAAAACTAGGAGACAGGTGCCGGCACTCATTTCCACAATACTGCTTTTAGCCACTTTTTATAAAGCATTAGTCTAAGTAGTACTTAGAAGTCATGGAACCAACAGAGTATAAAATTGTCAGTGGTTCACTTGGGGTTTCTTGTTTTGTATTCCAGCCCGTCAGAATAATAGCCAAACTTAGGCTTTAGTGTTCATGCTACCATTTATGTTTATCCTAGGTCAAGGTGCTTAATCTATGTCTCAGTACTTACTAAAGGCATTCATTTATGTGTAGGTATGTTTTAGCATTTTTTTCTTTTCTAGGGTAATACAGTTTATTTTACAGTATCTTTGGGCTTATTTTGAGAAACTGTTCAACAAACTGAAGGACCTGGAATATTCAGAAAAACCTTTTAGTCTACCTGTCATCAGAAACAAGGGAGAAGACAGAAATACATGGGCTTCCTTTGTAAAAAAGTCCCAAGTATTTTCAAATTCAATTTCAGTGGAAATAAAATATCTTTTATGATTAGCCCTCAGTAATCTGTAATTAATTTTCCAAACATCAGTGAAATAATTTACAGCTTTGAAACAATTTCAGTATATTTCTTTCTGAGGAATATGTATTTCAAATGTAATTACATGTTGTTTCCCTGAGAGTACTTGGAACAACAATATATTCTTTGTGATATTTTGAATGCTTTTCATTCATGTCTCAAAAAACATATTCTGTTGCTCTTCCTTAGTTATTTTAAAGTGAGATAAGAATGAGCATATTATCCACGTAACAAATTATGTTGTACAGGTGATTCTGATTTTCTGAAGTCATTTCTGGCAATCCATGAATCATGTAAAATGTATGGAGCAACGCCTAGCAGGTATATGACATTCCTTCATATATACAGTACCATCAATAACAGTAAAAGAAGACAGCTAATAAAAAGGCAGAGCCACTTGCAGGTATGTATTTAAAACATTTTTAACATACGTCTTTTCAAAATCCTCTCCCATTTGGAAATGCCGTCTGTATTAATGGGCTGTAGCTGGTAACATGGTTGTGAGAGGTGTCCTCTGTTCGCATATGCTCATGCTGTGGTTTCAGGAGAGAAATAGTATGAATCTTAATGTTCAAATGCCTCTAAGAGTGAAGAGTGGTTTCTTGTTTTTGTTAATATTTTTCCTCAAGAATGTATTGGACTGGGTATGTTTTCTTGAAAGAGTAAAATGTGCTTGAAAGCACTTTAAATTTTTTCAACCATATGTATTAGAATTGTGTTGCAAACAATCCATCATCATTACATCAATTTAATTCCTGCCTCTGCTTGTATAAATTTTCCCCATGTAGCTCCTTATTCCATCCTTTTCTTTATATCTCTACAGCAACTTCCTGCTTTGTGTGATTCTTGCATCCTTCTGGTTCAACAAGGTGTTACCTTTAACTTCATGGTGCTCTTGTGTAGCTTTGGCCAAGATTCCCTTTGTTGTGATTTTCTCCCATGTTGTGTTTTGGAATTAATTTCAAATTCATTTTCCACACATCAAACCTTTGCACAGTTCTAGACCAAATGCAGTTAATCTCAGATGTCGCTTTACTCCTGTATGCATAACATGCATATTTTTGAAACCCATTTGTTATCTTTCCAGTCATAAATCTTTCCCTCCCACCTCCCCCCAGTATATTTCTGGAAAGATCTGTATGATCCTTTAGGACATATAACTTTTGTCTTTACCCTTCTCCCTTCCCTTTCAGCTCCTTTTCCTAGTGACCCTTGCTGCTATTCTGAAACCACACTTGCAAAGCTGTATTTCTTCTTAAAGCATCTGTCAAAACCAGATGACTTTCTTGCCTTTTATTCTACACTGTTTTTATTCTGTGTGCCAATCTTTTTCATCACTGTAGTATGCAATTTAAGATTTGTATTTGTAATGATAGAAATTGCTTTTTTATTTAGAAAGTAGCTGTGGTTTGTTTGTGACAAACACTCACTTCTTAAATGGTTAAGAATAATGGTTAAATAAAAGTAAACACTTACATGAAAATGCATCCTATATCAAAACATCTTCCAGATAATATTTTCTTTCAAATATATCTTGAACTAATTCTGTTACCTGGTTATTGTAAAGTAAATAATTTAGAAAGTGTGAATAAAGAAAACAGTTAATCTTCAGCATAATTGAGGCTTTGTTTTATGTACATTTATGTTCATTAGAGAATGTACAAATATGTAGAAATAAGATAATCTGATTTATATCAATTTGATTTTTATAGATTTGCTCTTAGAGAAGATGTAATTATATGGAGTTAATATCAGTTAACTGAAATGCTATTGAATTAATTAGAAAAAGATTACTAGTTGCTGTTCAATTAAAAGTGTTATTTTGAGAATTTTGTTTTCAGCTTTTTGATGATCTTAGAGTGACACGTCTAGAAGTGCCAAATCTCAATTTTAGGTTAAATAATACTAAGGAAATATAAATAATATCAAGAAAATGTGGAACATAAGTTAAAAAATTAAGAATATTATTCTAGTTATTCTATTATTCTATTATACTATTCTATTATTCTATTAGTTTGTGCATACTATTTATAACCAAACTTCATTTAAATCCATTTAAAATACACTGCTAAATAACTGCTTCTTGTAAACTTCTAAAGGCAGGTGTTTCAAAGCTGAATGAAGCTAAAGCCCTGGTAGATGAACTGAACAGAAAAGCTGGAGAACAAAGCATTTTACTGAAAATGAAGCAGGATGAGGCTGATGCTGCCCTTCAAGAAATTACAGTATCTATGCAGGTGTTGTATACAATTACATCAAAAGTGAAAAAAAGAGAGATGCTCTTTTATTTTTGGTCTCCATAACTGCCTGTGCTTTGTATTCTTTTCAAGGTTTACAAAATCTGATGCTTTTACAAGAATTTGCCTAAGCGAATGCATGAGCACTGAGGCTTGAATAAACATACAACAGGACAGAGGATTATATCATTTAAATCATATCTGAACTGATTGAGTAGGAAGAGATCAGTGCAAGTTCTGCTCCTGAGTGGTACCTACTGCTGTAGTTTAGTCTGAAAGTTTTCCTAGAACTTCATAAATGCAAACTGATCCATTTTATAATGTTTATTAGCTAGGAGCTTTAAACAAAATGCTGACAGGTAGCACTGTTTTAAGTAACAAATACCAGGAATTAAATTTGTGGACTATTAGAAAGTATGTATTTCATGAGGTTTGGGCCCGTGAAGTTAACCTCAAAGAAGGTTAAATAATACCTCTGTGTTCATCACTCCTTGAATTTTTATTCTTTAGCTCAGAGGTAGACCTTCTGTTTTTTGAGGAGGTAGTGTTTTCTCAGTTAAGTAAAATAATTGTGCAGAAAATACATATCTACATTGATACTTCCAGGAATCATAAATTTAAGATAAGCTGTAATGAATCCACTGTCACTGCACTGTTATGCTGAACTGATCAGTCTGAAGCACACAAATAAAGAAGTTCAGTGACAAAGATACTCTGTATGCAGTAAAGTAGATGCCTGCTCTTTCAAATCATTTGGTTTGCAGTGCTTTAAATTACTTCCGATTTTTATAAGTCTACTTCTCTTGGCAATTTTTAATACTTTTAGGCTCTATATGCCTACTATACATGAATCTGAATAATGATGATTGGCTTGGTGTGTTCACTGCTGGCCTCAAAGAATTTATTATGCCATTTTCCCTGTTCTGTTTTAAATTTGTGTCTGCTGTAGTCTGGTAGAGTTACAGGTTGTGTGGGTAGCACATATTACATTGTAGGACAAAATCAAAGAGTAGGCCAAATGCAATGAAACATGATGGCCCCACTGACATCAGAAAAGTTACAGTAGAATTTTGATTATTTAAATTAGCATAAAGTATAGGTGCCCTGTAACATTTTAATGTCACAAATGTTCTAGTTTATGTAAGACAGAGGGCTCTAATAAATACAGACTCTTTTAATCTTCTTTCAGAGCAAGGCTTTTGACCTACAACTGGATTTTAGGGTTTTCTTATTCAGAGCTATCATTCAGGACATGTACATTTACATGAAATGTCTCATCTAGTTTTATGTAGCTAATGTTTTATGGATTTGAATGTAATCTTCAATGACGTGCTGGTCTATAGCTTGGGTTAAGTACTGAGAAAGATTGTTATTAATCTCAAGGTTTTCTCTGCTTATATACATCTGCTACAAATTCAACTTGTCTCAACAGTTGCTGGTTATAATAATATGTTATATACTGGAAAAACGTAAACCCTGGGCTTTGTTGTCTTGTATCTTTTAGGTGAACTGCGCCTAGAATATTAGTCTTTGATGTATTTTATGCATTTATCCTCAGTTATTTGTTTTGTAACTGGTATTGGTAGTCCCTGGTTCGGGGTGTTTTTTTTGTTGACTTCAGAATATCTGAAGTCTTTTTTATTGTAATTTTATATACTAGGTATTTATTATTGTACTGAAGTGCTTAGGAGTTCTGGAGATGGCTAATGGCTACTGTCTGCTGTATGGTAGGCACAGTATCAATACAGGAAAAAAAAAAAGATGTAAACCCAGACAGCTTACAATATATGTGTAGGACATAAGACGGATATCCTTAGAGACAGATGGGTGCAAATTTACAAGTAAATGATATATTAGTATTTTTAGGCTAATGAACTCTATTTCCAACACAACTGCTGCTTTTAGTAACATAGAAAAGGAGTGTTTTAATGGTGTAATGAAAGAAATAGAAATGTGAGCAGCTACAAAGACAATGACATGAAGACATTACTTTCAAATGTAGTAAGAATGTTAAAGGTTGTCACTCTTATGCTTTTAGAGGGGGACTGCCATCTTGATAAGGAATGGAAAATCAGGGGCAAGGAGGAAAAAAGTCATAATGAGCCTCAAAAATAGAGGAACAGATCTTGTCTGTGGTAAAGGGAAAGCGACACCGTAAAAGC